CCCGGAACTTAACTGAAACAAAAGCAAATTTGTTATTTTGAATATTTAGAAATATGCGTTGAAATCTCAAATCTTTGCCCATTGCCATTCATAAGTTTCTCGTCCAATTATAAAACTTATTTTTTTTATCTCTCTCCCTATCAATATGCGGAAATTTTGTGAAACGGTGGTCCTAAAATGCACCTTTATTAACGTTTATGATTGAAGAAGTTACACTATTAGCTCTTACTACTTGAGATCATGCGTTTTCTGAAAAATCAATAAAAATTAAATACATTCCCAAAAAAAGAAAATTGGTTGGGAATATGGCAGAAAAATCTCGTACATAATTTTGAAATACGACTAAAAGCCGCCCACTTCAGCCTATGGTATGAGATTTATCCGTTAAATAACTAATAAATGTCAATAAATGGTCGCTGCCTTTGTTCTTAAGACATACACACAATATAGGTTACCATAATATAGAGACATCTGCTCCCACAGTACGTGTAGGTGGTCGGTATTGTATTTTTTGACGATAAGCTATCAGGTCTATTAGAACGATTAACATATTAAATAAATAATGTAGCGAAACTGGGTCGCCTAGTCGTAAAAAAGCGAGCAGTGATTTTTAACAACGTATTATAACAATGTAAATAGGTATGCCCACTTTGCGGGACTGCAATTTGTCTGTTGACTTGCCCCTACGTATCAATCCGATAGCAAATTGAACTAAAATATCGCAAACGCCAGTATTTTATATTACGTGATCGTTATAGGAAGAGTATTCGAATGAAATTTTAATAAAACAAACTATCCATTTAACGACCGGCTAAAATCGTTAAAAATATATTACTACGTCGAAAGTCGATCTATTAGCTTCGCATTGACTGAATTTTCACGAAATGTTCGGAAAATTTCCCAATTAATTTGCTATCGACCTTGGTTGCCGCACGTCGCAGTGAAACACCTGGCCGTTTGTTTATTTATTTTTCTTTCTGCTTTTTCTGAAGTGCAAATCTTTATTTTGCAATAATTCCGCATTGTTCATATTAATATGCATCCAGCTACACGTTTTATGCAAGACGATTATGGGGAAAAAGCTTTTTTACCTTTGATTTTTATCATGGTATTTATTTAAATGTGCTTTTGCATAATTAGGGCAATTTTTATGTGCCATTTTTTGTATTGTTTATTTTTGTTTTTAGTTCTTCTTAGTTTTTTTATTTGTGTTGTTTTAATATAATTTTCAATATGCTACGGTGCAGTTTTTAGAGTACCTGAGCTATCTGGCTATGGTGATTTAAAAAAGCTTCTGATAATGTTAATATTAACATACTCTTTAAAAAATTAGTAGAAATGGAAATAAGAGGGGGATTTAATCCTCAAACTTGTAAATGCTTGTCTTAAAGATAGCTGCCGACATGTTAAAGTAAACAATATAAGTGTTGACTTTCCTCACAATATGAAAATAAAATGACTTGGACAAGATCAATGGAAAGTATATTTTTTGCTTATAAGATAATAGGGTTAAACATCAATATTGATCAAACCGAATTATATGGATTTAAATTGGTAAAGAAATACGTGAATGGTCTGAATGTATCATTTTATCTATTTAATATTTATATAGGGGAATATAATATAATATAAAATAAATTTTAATATAATGCAATTGCTACAGAAGAAACTATTAAAGAACAATTGAACAATGTAGACTTATATTTAATATCTTAAAAGGCCAATAGAAATTTGATAATTTCCAAATATGTGCGTCAACTTTGAAACATGAATAATAAGTAATATTTATTTGATTAATATCAGAATGAATATTTAACACATTCGGAACATTTGATTCACTATCAATTTTAAAAACAAGTGATATTTTTCTGAGGCAACAACAAAGTTTTTTCGTTATTATGAATATTTATTTGTATTTAGTTTCAATGTTTCAGTGTTCAACTCTAAAAAATTTACACTTGGCATTAATGCACTGTGTAGAATTTTTGATTGTTTTTATTTCGTCTCGCATTACTGTTTCGATTTTTTAATTTTTTAATAATAATAAATTGTTATTATAAGCTGAATATTTGCGAGATTTGGGACATATTATGTAAGCACGTAAATTTATCTGAACTCGTGTGTAAATACCGACATTAAAGTCTAGCCGATAAGTAGTGTACCGTGAAATATCGTAGACCATTGCATTATCTAAATAAAGACCTAATAAATGACGGGAGCAGCCAGTACCATAGGAGGTACCCGTAATAATAAAAAGGGCGGGCACAACGCCTATGGTTCCATGTATATGACCCTGTATTAATGTAACGGAGGACATTATTTGAAAAATGAATGCCGTGCGGTCACTCGTGCGTACAACAATGTAATTAAAATGAAAAAATTCACGGTTTACTAGTACATGACACGTATTTTACCATTAAAAGTTTTTTAAACTCCTCCGTTACGGTCGTGGTTCAAAAAATCGTTTCCCCCATTTAGGTGTGTGTTTAAAGAAACGTCTATAGTATTTCAGAAATGTATATGTTACCGGTAAAATTTGAAATACCGCATGTAACGCAATTACTAGGCATTATATAGAATGTCTCTATATTTTCATACTGCATATTGTACTTAAATTTGACAAACATGCTTATGATTCTAGCTAGCTAGGCTATACTCCAAGCGGAAAAGGAATTAACTAATTTAATTTTAGCCCACGGTAGATTATCCTAAACCGATACACTCATTAAATTGTTGTTAACTATAACATGACCATTGATCTCATTTAATAAATATTAATATAGCTTAGTTTCAATAAGAATATCGTTAACTTGTTATTAGCAAATACAACATGTCTATGGAAAACAACAAGCTAGTCACAACTTTTTTTAATTTATTTCCAAAAAGAAATAAAATAAACTTTCATTGTATAATGATAAAAAAAAAACATTGCCATAAACAACAAATGTTAAATATTGGGCAAAGCCATAGATTTATTATTAGAAAATTAAATATTTCCGAAAGCAAACAAACATAATATGTATTAAGATTTGGTTAGTTTTTTTTTAATGGTTATTCCATTTACTAGCGGTAAAAACATTACATTATAACAACAAACATACATGTTTACAAACAAAAAAAAATATTTATATTAATAATGTCAATGTCATATATTGGCAACAAAATATGACCCAAGGAGATATTTATTATTTTATTACATCTTTTTTTTTTCATTTCATTAATATACAACTTAAAGTGAGGAATTCCATTCTTTTTGCCTGAAATTATAGAAATTTTGCGTTCTTTAAACATCTTAAATATTTTCCGACCCCCATCTACTCAAATTCGTGTTTTGTTTCCTATGTTTTCTAGTGGAATATCGGTTGAAATGTGTTTCACTTAAGTTTTCGGTGGAATACTCAAAAATAATATGAGATTTCAATTTAATACACATACATAAAAATCTAATCGCTTATTTAGTTCTCCGTGGGTGTACAACCTAACGCATATTTTTTTAACACTCTGTATAATAAAGACCTAAAAAAATATATAAAATGAACTGTTTTTGATACAGAAAAGAAGCAAATACAAATGGTTGCGAACTTAACATAGTTAATCTTTAATAATTTCCAGAGGCGTCCTTTAGGGACGCATTTCCCCCTAGAGAGAGCCGTGGGAAAAAAAATGTTCATTTTTTTTGTTCTATCGAAATTCCATAGAAATGCGATATTTTCTAGGACGCTGAGTGTTAAACGAAAGAGAAATTAGTTTCAGCTCTGGCCTTGCACGCTATGTTTTGAGATATTTGGCGCCATTTTAGTTGGGCTTGCGTACGATAGCCATTTATATGCCGGAGTTGTTTGAGAACAAGTAACGGACTTGGGTGCCTGTTTTGAAAACCTTGCCGTGGCTTTAATATGCAGGCAAAGCGATTTAAAATAATACGGTGCATATTAAATAAGTTTAACGCTTTGTATGGCGTCTTTAGTACTTAAAATGTATTTCAAGTTAGCAGCGTAGCGCCCCACTGTTGTGCCGCTATTTTCAACTTCATTACTTTTATACCAGTTGCTGAAGGAAGGAGCGAGTGAGATGTTGATGATTCAATCATTTCACATATCATGTTTCTAAAACAGTAAACATTGGAATGGTAAATTTTACGATTTGTTGTACTCCAATCAAAAATATGCTCATCTCATAGAGACGCTTATGTCTATCGAATTAATTTTTTAGTGAAACTTACAAAGGCTGCTGTAATACTATTACCAAAAAACCAAAACTAACCCCCACACTAGCGAAACTATCAAACTCTTCTCTATGGTAACTTCATGGTTGCCCCACCTAGGCAAGTTGTTTGTATTTGTTGTATTTGTTTTTGTTTTTCGTATTTGTCAAAGCGTGTTCTGTTAACGAAATATACAGGGATTAAAACAGCAGACATTTACAACGAAAATGTTTTAAACATAGACATAAAATAAATAAATAAACTAAAAAATGAAGATAAATGTTCCTTGAGGAAACTGCGAAAAAATTTCAAACAATAATGATTTCATGAATTAACGACAAAAAAAATTTCCGTGTACAATCATGATCACTTTAAAGTAGGTTCTCAAGAAAATTTCTCTGTCCATGTTTCTTTTATTTTATTTGGGTCTTGCGATTTTACGGGCATTGTAACCTTTACGTCTTCTTTGCTTAACGTCCAAAAAAGCCAAGGAAGTAGCATTGACTGTTGGCAACATCCTCCAGCTTAGAGCCTTTATAGGTGACCTTAGAAGTTTAGTAAACGAAAGTCCCCTCTGAGGTGTGGCCTAGCGTAAGGTATCCGTTAAAAATGCCGCTGGGAACAGCCGTAAGTCTTTGTCCTTGGGCACTGTATAGGGTTATTACGCTTAAAAAGCGAAACAATAGGCATCTTGTCTATTGCGAGCACAATAAAGCCAAATAATAGTCTCTGCGAAAACACGGGCGTAATTAGTGTTCTTCGTAGAGTTGGAAAAATATTTTTCTTTTGTTTTCAGAACGGCAACTATATGATGGAAAAGGAGTCCGAGGGAATCGGCGTGTGCCCGTACGATCCTGATCACAACAGCACCGCCATCTACAGTAACGGTCACTTATTTTCAGCCACCGTTGCTGATTTTTCCGGGGGGGATCCTCTTATTTATAGGGAACCTCTTCGTACGGAGTTATCGGATCTGAAACATCTGAATGGTAATTTATTGTTTTATTCGTTGTCTTTCTTCGATGCGTTTAGGTAGTTTTAAGGCGTGTTTTTCAATCTCGGTTAAGCTCAAGTGCGATTGGTACACCCGTAATAATAAATAAATTTATATTCACTGTGAACTATGAGGTAGTCTTTAATTTAATTAACGCGTTTTATCAAAAGCACTGGAAAGGATTACGGACAAACAAACGGTAAACTTAAACTAAATTTAAACCATATTGCACCGGAAAATTAGGTTTTAGACCTGATCATAGTTGTGAGAGCGCCATGTTAGATATTACCATTTGGAGGGCAACAGACGATGAAAAGGTAGCCGCATTAATAATTTTGATCTTCAGTAAAGCGTTTGATATGATAAATCACCCAATTGTTTTGACCATTTTACATTACTTCATGGCTTCATTTTTCATTCTTGTTTACACTGAAAAAACAAAATACAATAAGATAACAATAACAAATTTCCAATATCTTAAGTTTTTTTTTGATGAATGAAATGTTTCGTTGAAGGATTTCAAGATTTTTAAACAAAAACGTATATATTTGTATAATTTGTAAAAAAATACATGCAAAAAGTGTAAATAACATGTTATTTACTGAGCAATGATTTTGTGATAATTTTTAACAAATAAAGGTGGTTAAGACATACTTTTACAACTGGGCTTTTTCTGAGATACATTAATAATTATGGCAAAAATAAATTTCTACCATTGTTAAAGATCAGTGACGAATAACGCATTTTATTAAGAAGCTAAGCCGAAGCAGAAATATATGCATTACTTTATCTATCCGAGACTAGTATTTCTATACTATATTTTGAAGCTTCAAAAGAGCGTTTGCAACAATCGATAGAGAAATACTAGTGAAGAGATTATATAAATAAATGGTTCATTAGTTATGTAACCGTTAGATATCAGCAATTAAAAGTTGATAATATATATTCAGATATAAATCAGGTTAAATTTGGGGTACCTCAAAGTACTGTGTTAGGCTGTTTTACTTTTATATTCCCGATAAGGATTATTTAATGATTAATTTGTTCACTGATGGTACTGTTTTGTCAATAACGCGATTCTGAATTATATGTAATTTAAAAATAGATTAAAAAAGGCAATTACAAATTTCAGTTAAAAAGTCATGATAAATTAGACAGGAAGGTAAATACCTGGGGTGATTATTGGCGATGCACTGAATAATAATAATTCATGAATAACTTTGTATGTCATTGATAGAGATAAAGATATTCTCTAAAAGTTATATTATATAAAACATGATTTCGTTATCCTTTAAAGGTTTCAAGTCTAAGGGTATCAAAAAAATATATAATTAAATATATGAAAGACAATTATCAATATTGTGGAGGAAAAACATCATAGTCGTATTTAGTATTGTAGCTTTAATATATAATATTTGCAACATTTGCTAATATACGCCTCATTCATTTATTCATTCATTCAGGCTTGATTGGTTTTGGTTAGTTTTGGCCTAGCTGACATCCTTCAAAAATCAGTGGGCAGCAACGTATGGGTAGGCCGCTTAACCAAACCAACACTAACATCAAAAAATATTATGTAGATAGCAAAGGGCAGGTAAATCACATACCAGCCCCAATTTTAATACATAATAATAGTTTTGGATTTGATTTGGATTGGTTTGTTTATTTATGTATTTATTTATTTAATTGCAGCGTTTAATACAATAATATAATAATCTATAGGGTCACCCGGCAGTGAAAGAAAAAATACAAATAAAAGTTCCGTGATTCTATGTATTTTAAGAATTTTTGGTCCAGAATGTAGAAAAATGTAATGTTGTTGAAGGGTTGTTTATTATTTTATTTTAATTTTTTTTTACAGAAAATTTTTGAGGTGTGTCGGAACTTTTGTGTTTAACCTTTTTCTTTTAAATTATTATTCCGTAGATATAATGAAAAGCCTGTGCAATATTTGAGTTGTCAATCAAAATATAACAATATCCAAAAATAAAATAAATTATGCAATTTTTTCTAAATATTTTTCAATCTATATTTTATATATATTATATTTTGAACAGTACGAAACAAAAAACATACTTTCTACATAAACACTTAAATTTTCTGCATAGTGCTAATATTAGTGGATGTTAAAATAAAAGCTACGGGTTTTGTAGTAAAACCGTATCTAATTTTAAACTGCTTTAATCTTTTATTCACTTAATCGCATTTATACGAACAGATTGCGTCCATTAACACGTTAGGCGAAAAACCATTCGAAATAGTTCGACCAAACAAAGATAAATCAAATATGAAATACGATTGTGAAATAGTAAAATGGTGTAAACAAAAGTTATAAAGTATCCGCGTAGGTCAACAAAAAAAGCTTGTTTAAAACTATTGGCACAAAAAAAATGTTTGTTTATGCTATAAATAACCCTGGAACGTATGAAGGGAGGGACGGGATATATACAGGGTGCTTCGCGTCGGCTAGTCCTAGCTTCATATTCTGGAGCATTAACAAATCATTAAATAAATGAGTCTGCTACAGTGTTTGTAATCTAAAGTGTACCTACACACAAAATTTGATTTTTTTTTAATTTGATTGTGTAGCCCGGTATGATTTCAGAGATTATTTTTTTGTTATGCTAGTTCACCAGCACTTTTAACAGAATAGTCAACATAAGTCACCCTGTATAATGAACTTTTTGTATTCTTATGGGTTAAAAACTACGCTCATTAGATTGAGTTGAAAATATAATTATTTTTAATTAGACTTATTATGAAACTTTTAATTCATTTGTCGATTTTCCAATTATACTTGTCATCTGTAATTTTCATAATGAAGTTGAAAATTTCTCATTGATTAAAATTAAAGTTCCCAAACTACTTTTACTTTGGCTCTATTAAGTGCTGTTTCGGTATAGTCGTGTTTTCTCTTTTTAAATTGGCCTTTTAATGGAGTTTATTAACATTTTTATTATTAATACATAATGCTTTGCATAATTCCCATAAACTGCTTAAGAATAATTAAGATGATTGATATGTATTTATCGGTCGGAAATATTGCCGCAGGTGATATTTGTTTCTGCTAGAGAAATTATGAAGAAAAAGTTGGTAATATTTACAAAAAAAATAGATATATTTATTTAGATAAATTTATATTTTGACACCCATCTGATGAGTTTGGTTAGTTATATTTTAGAATAATAATAATAATAGTAATAATAATAATAATAATAATAATAATAATAATAATAATAATAATAATAGCAATAATGATAATAATCGATGGCCTTTTAAACATTGAGCATTTGAAATGATGCATTAAAGAAGATTTTCCTAAGTAAAAAAACATACAAGGTGTTCCTAAAAGACAAAAAAGTAAAAGTTGTTTATTTTTCTTAACTCTGTGGTGGTTATTTTGGTTAGTTTTGCTATATTTAATAAATACTTTCTATGGAATTTCGCAAATCTTATAATTTGGCGCAATAAACTGTTACTGAATCATTTTTCAATCGTCCTAGATATTGCATATTTGTGCGTTCTAGATTGATTTTATTTGTAAATCGATTAAGTGCATTTATTTTAGTAACTGTAACAGTCTAAGTGAAATGAAAGTTGGATTGTTCTGTTCGAACATGGACAATTAAGCATGTCGGTTATCCGGTAGGTGAGACACTAATGCAATGGTTATCGAAACACAAGGTAGCGTTTAAAATTAAAAATGTATTAGATAATTAGGTTTACGATAATAATTGTTATTACCATTTCAAATTCGAAAATAGAACTAAGATTTATGATCAATAAATATAAAAATTTTTAATAAAAAGCTAATCATTTACGAGCTTTGCATGCATTGAATTTATGTGCTGATATTTATAAACCAGGTAATATTATTAATGATTATCTTAACTAATCAAATAAATATGTAGTAATTATGAAAAAACGCACTCTAAACGAAAGCATCCCGATTTACAAATAAGAGGAATGAAAAGAAAATGTGAAGTATTAAAAATGGAATACAGCAAGGAAAGAAAGCACCCCAGCTCTTAAATTCTCTATTGTGGCCCAATAATATAAGCGTATAGAGCGTATAGTACTTGACATAAGGCTCAGAACGCTAGCAAATGACGAAGAACGATCAGAAATGGATCTATGTGCGAGAGATGGCAAAGAAAAGCTTTACATATGACAGAAGAAAGAAAGGAGCATTCTGAGGCAATGCAATTTGGTGATAATAATAATAATAATAATAACAATGATAATATTAATAATAATAATATTTTTATTATCCAACATATTTAGAATACAATCAGTGTATTATGGATTTCGCCAAGTAGGTCAATATAGATCATGCAAATGAGGTAGAAAATTACATTAAAAATTTGTATAATTAAAATATATGACAGAGCACAACAATACAGTGTTGACAAACATTAATAGGTAAAATATTCGTTTAAATTATAAAAACAGTTTTCTAGGAGGAAAAACTTTAGTTTTGATTTAAAAATGTTTACATTACTACTGCTCTTTAGCTCTGGGGTCAGTCTATTGTAGACTCCAATACCGGTGTTCGTAAAATATTTTTTTTGAAAATTCTAGTCTATTTTTTTTATGGAGAAACAGTCTTTGTTACGTGTATTATAGTCGTGGAAATCTCCGTTTTTTTTGTAAGGTATTTTTATTTTTATATACCCATAAACAGACTTCTAATATTTATATACAGGCTAAAGGAAGTATTTTAAACTCCCGGAAGAGGGGCCTGCACGAACTCTCCGGCGAGGTTCCAGAAATACACCTTAGGACTTTTTTTTGGGATTTGAAAACAGATATCGCATGACTTGAATTTCTCCAAGAGGGAATACCATAGAGTAATCTCGAATAGATGTGAGCATAGTAGAAATTTATCATGCAGTTTCCAGTCAAAACAGTTTTTAAATTTTTTATTAGGAAACAATAACTATACAACTTTGAAGAAAGAAATTGGCATTGAGTTTCGCAAGATAGGGTTTCGTC